TGAGGACCATCTAGAAAGAAGACAATTTTCAGGAAACAATATCAGCATTTATCAGGTGCTGAAAGAATTTTCCCTTGGGTGATGATAAAAGGAACAATGTTTTTTTCATAATTTTCCATCTTATATTCATTGTTACGCTGTTCTTACAATATATACATATAAAGTATAAATCCCACTTCCTCCTTTAAAGTCTTACATATTAATTATTAACTTTATTTGCAAATATAACAAAACCTTGGAGCGAGACAGGAAGGATGTACACAGGAAGGATGTAAGAGCCACCCACAATGGGCTAAGACAGAAATTGCTTAAAACTATTGAAGGGACTCAAGTACCAAACATCAAAAACAAACATGACAAATTTGTGTCATATATTGTCTTGTCTCAGAAAGCATGGACTATGCAGTTGCAGATATATTCTTTAGTTCGCACAATGTCAAAACTGGACCATCCCAGAGTCAGCAATCACTTCTTTTTTCCTTTAGAGGTTTTCTGTTTTTTTGGTTTGCAGTACTTTGCTTCCAGCCCAGCAATCATATCATCCATTGCTCCTTGCCTATCCTGCTGACGTTTCATTATCAGCTGTTTCAGGCTGTCATCAGATTTGTCATTCAAGCCAAGTTCTCTTGCCATTTCTTCTGCCTCAGCAGCCTCTTTCTGAGCCTGTGGTAGATAAGTACTTGGCAGTCAATTTGCATTATGTAGTCCTCAGCTTAATTCTACCTGCACGTTTGTTTTTCTTTTTGTTTGCAAAAGGAGCCATATTTTACTTGCTATTTCACTGACCGCACTTGAAAAAAAATTTGGAAAAAAAGTTGCTTTCAAAAGCAACACTTGCTCAGGTTGTCTGAAATATTTTTAAATGCTCATTTAAGTGTATGAGAGGGAAGGGCAAGTGGGCCCAAGCCCCTTCACTGTTTTCGCATTTAAGACAAAAATATTTTTATACAAACATGCAAAGTGCATAATTTGAGACTGGAAACCCTCTAAATGGCATTGTAGGATATCTAGGTTCTTGGAAGTTTACTGCAGTGAGAGATATCTTGTTATTTAACGTGTCTTATTTCCTTCAGGGCCTGAAATGCTCATATTTCTTATTTTCATAGACTTCAGTAACACGGGGAAGCCCCGGGAAGAGGGTACTCCCTTTAATGTCCTGTACAGGGAGGCTCTGCCTGAAGGGGTACATTTTTCAGGCTTCAGGTGTACAAAAGGGTAGGGATTTCATAACTTGAGGTGTATGAAAGGGTAGCAAAATCTGTCATTTAGTTATTTCAAAGGGTCTTCAATTAAAATATTTCAAACAGATGCACCTTATGACTGTATCATTTCATTTATTAGGCACTACATGAAAATTATTTATTCATAATACAGGCCAGTTATGAAAGTACCTTTTTTCAATTAAAGGTATATAAAAGGGCTACCTTTTCTGTCAAAATGGTATACAAAAGGGTAAGGGGTGTGTAGAGTTGCCCCCCTCCTCCCCCCGGAGGAGGCCCTAAGGGGTTGAGAGGAGTTGCAGCCAGGGGTTACAGGAAAAGTGAATTCTCACTTACTTTTTGTTTTCTAGCTTTCTTCTTCTTTTTACCCTCACTCACAAAGGCCGGGAATTTCGGTAGATCTTCCTTTGAAATAAGTTCCTCAATAATTCCCCTAAACCTTTCATCGTCGTCGACCGTGGCACAGAGCACATTTTCCAAAATAGCGTCCATGTCCCCTTGATAATCCAGATAGGCTGACTTGAGGTCGTTCACTTCCTCCTCGGAACCTTTGTAGTTGTTCTCGAACTCCGCTATATCTTCCACGGTTATTTTCTGGAACAATAACCTCCAGTAGGCATCCCAGTCGCGTTCTTGTACAACAACATCGTCGTCAACTTCTCCAGATTCATCGTACAATGCTCTCTTGTCTTGATCCGACAATACAGAGTAAACTCTGCTCAAACACTGAAACTTTTCAGTAGCTGTCGCTTTATCTTCCTCGGCTGCGCGATCAGGATGGACTACCAGCGACTTTTTTCGGTAGGCTCGTTTTACCTCCGATTCTGAGGCGGCTTTTGTCAGCCGCAATACTTCATACAAATCTCTGGTTCCAAAATGTGTCTCTAATGTTTCAAAGAAAGACATTTTTTTGTCCAGCAGAAATATGGCTGCCGCCACCAGCCCGCCAAATTTTAGAATGATCACGTGGGATATGTTGTTCCATCGGTACTTCCGGCCCTCATGAAAGGAACCGGAAATAAGTTTGCAATTGTCTCAGCTCTAGTCCACTCCGTCCTCTCACTGATTCTTTTCCCCCATTCCTTCTGTGTTGTATGATTTCCTTCCATTCTTCATTCCACAATTTTTGGACCAATGTCATTATTAGGTACCAGGAACTATTTAGCTATGCAGAATTTGATAAATTGTAAATATTTCAACTGTAGATCTCCACTGACTCTAAAGTTTTTTTGCACAGCAAATTAATTTTCTTATCCTTCAATCTTTCTCATTGTTTAGCCTCATCACTCATCCATGAAAGCACAACATCCCCCTCCATCTGTAGTAGTATTTTGGAAAAGCCAAGGAAACAATAACCTAATTGTTGCTTGCTCGAGGGCATGGCCACGAGCAACCTGGACGTCTGAGAATCAGGCCAAAGAAAAGATTGTACAAGAATCAACCATCTGCAGAAAGGTCATCTGACCTTTGTACATGCAGCTCCTTGTGTTCACTACACATTTATTCACTGAATAATCAGGGTGCTGGCCACTTATTTCAACTGGTGATCAGATGCTTTAAGCTCTAGTAATCCAAAATCAATTTGCTCCATGTCAGATCACAAAGTTTTGACTTCCTAACTAAGCAATGACTCATTATTTACCAAGTCTACAACCTTGTCCTTCTTTATTAAATGTTTCATATAAACCCTTACATGTGAATAATTTACATATTTTTCCTGAAAAAAATTGATTATACACAAGTCATTATTGTACATATCTTTGTTACTGATTTGAAGAAGAAAAACAACTTAATCAGGGCTTCTGTATGAGCTGTGAAATAATGCCACAAAATCTTCAGTAATATCCATTCCCTTAATAAATTTACTGGAATTTTCCAAACAATTTTATTATTATAGTAAATAATTATTGGGGGGCATACAGATTTTCGTAGGACTTCCAAAAAGTCTGATTTTTCCTATGTCCCATATTAAATTCCCTAATGCTCATCAGTAATGTCAAGCCAGCTGACTTCTAGCATAATCTTAAATACAATTCAACATCAATATCTACCGCCTAATTCGAAAATTTGTCCTAAGCCTGTCACAGACAGGTTTCTACCTCAAGCTCACTCCCAGGGCTTTTCTAGGAGCAATGGGGCGGGGGGGGGGGGGGG